CTGTTTTGCTTGGAGAGCTCTCCGTTGTGGACCACTTCGATAAACTGATCTATCGTATATAGACTCCTTCTCAGAAATAATGTTTTAAAATGCTTAAATTAAAACCTGCCAGATTACAAAGGAAACTAATTATGGCAAACTCCAATTATCTAAATATTAAAATGTATATTTGTATTTAATGGTACATAAACTTTTTTAAGTTAATATATTAAACACCAAAATCCAACCAAATGTTTTACAACTGCCATCTTTTCAAATTAGTAATGCATTTTTTGCAACTGAAATGTGATATAAAAATGCCTGATTTTATCTGGTCAAAAAGTCCCAGGTACTACTAATACTATTGGGTTTACTGCCTACTTGATATTCAAACGAAATATTAAATTTTAGTTAGAATCGAATAGAAATAAGGATACATTTTTTTATTTTTTTATTTTCTTTTTTCTTTTTCTTTCTTTTTTTTTTTTCTTGGTCCACCAAGTTTGTAGATCTCCTAAATTCTTTCTGTGGACCTCAGGATAATAACCTTGGTGCTTTCCTTGGGCTTTCAGATTTTTAGGTTGGGGTCTAGATTCAAAATGCAATCATTTCTCTATGATTCCTTAAATATTTCCATGTTCACATTCCCTGGGAGCAGGTTAATAAGTTCGAAAGTAAAAATGTAACACAATTTTGTGAAATTATTTCCTGCTGACCAAAAACAAGCAAAAAAAATCCCCAGCTCATCTCATCACTATTGATTACAGTTTAATTTTTTTACTGGTTTGATGAAAATTTCTTAAAAAGGTGATCTAACATCTAAAAGTATCTGTATTAGTCACAGTTCTCCAGAGAAATATATATATATATATATAAAATATATATAATATATATAAAATAAATAGAATTATTAAATAAATAAATAAATAAATAAATAAATAAATAGAATTATTTTATATAGAATACATATATTCTAGTAGAATATATAAAAGAGAATTATTACAAGGAGTTGGCTTACAGGATTATGAGGATGAAGAAGTCCCCAAACAGGCAGTTGACAAGCTGGAGACCCCGAGAGCTGATGGTACAAATTCCCGTCCCCCAAACAGCAGTCTTCACCCTCAAGAAGAAGTGAGTGGGCTTCTGTTGAGTCTAAAGACAAGACCCATGTCCCAGCTAATGTCAGACAGGAGGAGCTCCTTCTTACTGGGGGAGGTCTGCCTTTTCGCTCCCATCAAGCCTGAAACTGAGTGAAGTAAGGCCCAGCCACATTAGGGAGAGTGATCTGCTTTAGTCAGTCTACCAGTGCAAGTGTGAACTTCATCTGAAAACACCCTCACAGACATACCCAGAATAACGTTTGACCAAACAGCAGAGTACCTAGTGGCGCAATCCACCTGACGCGTAAAATTAATCATCTCAGTGCCTAAAAATGAGAAACCATTTTTAAAATACCCATAGGCATCATTATCAGGATTGGAACATTACTGTGTCATGAAATCCAGGAAAACCAGGGGTTAGGTTGTTTCTACACAACCGGAGTTACATAATATTATTGAAATGAAAAAAAGTTACTTGATTTTATTACAACGTGTATGTATAGCACGTGGTACTTTTATTTTGAATCTCACACTTGCTATTTGAATAAGTAAATCACCCTAGATTTCCTAAGAATATTGAGTGAATACTTAAGTGTACAGGAGAAGCAGAGCATGGAAGAGAGAGAATGTTTGAATTATTTTTTTTAAGATTTTATTTATTTATTAATGAGAGACACAGAGAGAGAGAGAGAGAGAGAGAGAGAGAGAGAGAGAGGCAGAGACACAGGCAGAGGGAGAAGCAGGCTCCATGCAGGGAGCCTGATGCGGGACTCGATCCCAGGACCCCAGGATCATGACCTGAGCCAAAGGCAGATGCTCAACCGCTGAGCCCCCAGGTGCCTCAAAAATGTTTGAATTATTAAACATATTTTGAAATATTTTAGAAACTTGTCAATATACCTTGATATCGCTATTCAATTAAGGTAAATGCTGACTTAATTTCTTTATATTTCATTTTTGTGATCATTTACTATGAGGTTGTGCCTTTCGCCCTAAAAGTCTACTCGCAACAAGCATACAGCTTTAGGAGTGACATGGTGCTTTCACTTGAGGTCTTCAGTAGACTTGTGGTAGGAAATTAAACAAGTGACATAACCACGGCGATTGCCTGAACTTGCTTATTTTATGAACTGTAATAAAAATGCTTGTTATCAAACATTAAGTATGGAGCATTTTGAACTCCTTGGATGAAATACTTAATTTGAATTTACTCAGCCTTGTAAATAAATTTAAAAGATTAATTGACCTGCACAAATTTGTTACCAACCTTCTCTCTCCCATGGTGGCTAACTTCTCGTAAAATGAAGGATATTAACATTTCTTTCTACTTCCCTCTCAGATTAAGTGTTCACGGGGGTTGGGTTAGATGAGTATCTCTTACCTGATGTAGATCAACTACAATCCACCAAGGCCTTGTTTGAGAAAACTGTTCACTTAAGATAGGATGCAGGCTTAGGATCACCTAAATTCTATGCATTTGGCCTAGATTTTAAAGTAATGAATAATGAAGAGATTGAGAGAATAGACTTTCTATGCCAGGAGTGTTCCTCTCCTAAGGGAGATCCCTAGATGAAATGACTTGGGGGAAAAATACGATCTGAAAATTGTTTTGTTTTTATTTTATTTTTTTTTTATCCTATTTTACTCTGCGAATAGCTAGGAACAAAACACTAAAGAACAAAATAAGCACAGGCCTGAGGGTACGGTGGTTCCTCCTCTCATCACTGGTGAAATCACGGGGGAATAGTCAGTAGAGGATGAGGTGGTGGGAGACAGAGGCAGAGAAACAAAGTGAGGAGAAATGGTATGAGCTGCTGAGGTGAGTCCTCTACAGGGAAGGTCTGGGCTTGCTAGGTAAGAGCAGGGGAAACGGCGTTGTCCCTAATCCTCGAATTTTGGATTGGCTTTCTTGAAGCTTTTACCCTTCATTTGTGCTTCATCCCAACAAGGAGGTTCCCCAGCTGAGCCTTCCAGCTACGGGCTCCAGCCATCCAGGCCACACAACGCTTGGCTTTCTCCCTGCATAGTCAATATTTAGGACCATCAATGTAGCTTAATAGATCCCGACCTTCAAAATACAATTTAAAAACCATTCTAAATAACGCTCATTCTGGTGCCATCTTCGTTGGCTTACAAAGGGAGTTTTTATAGGTCACAGAGGTAGCAATACAAACCTTTAAAGAAAAGGTAGATTCATTAACAAATGGGTGTAGTAAAGCAAGCCAGAATAGGGAAAAGTATGTGGAAGTATTTTAGGAACCCTCAAGGCTGGATATTGTCCTTTCGATTTGGCTGAAAAACAGAGAACGCATAGGTAATGATGTAGCTAGAAGGAATCACGGAAATGGAAACTATTAAAGCTATGCAATGGGATTAGCCACGACGAGGAGAGAGAGGCTAGGGTATCTGCAATGGCTTCAGAAAGAATGTCCTGGGCTGGTGAAAGGCGGAGACGAAACAAGAACTGCTTTGTGAAACTGGTAGAGCAAGCAAAGAACGCAAGAATTGATTGCAGTGGGGGTGTCGGTGAATGTCCAGCTTGACCAAGGCATTCAAACTCAATTAGGAAAAAAATCTTGTCGGGGCTGCACAAATACCTTCGAAGGTGCCAGCTCTCAAGAGCTGGATTTGTCAAAAGTACTTGGAACTTTGTACATGATACAATTGCTTTGCTTTTCATAGTCCAGTACATAAGGGGAGCTCTAACTTGAGAAGATTGAGACTCTGTCTAAACTGTCCCAGGTCGATCTAAAACCTTCAGGAATCTTTGCCCCAGGAATATATCAAAAAGTGAAAGAGAATGAACCCTCTTTTCAGAAAATCAGGGATTCCAAAGAAGCAAGTTGGTGGGCTTCACTATAAAAACTTTAGGTTTTTATCCTTACTCAAGATATTTGAAACCTTGCCTTATTTACAAACACTCACACGGGCTTTCCATTTTAATTGATTTTAACTTTGTTGTGAAGATTTTTCTGTTAGGTCCTCAAAGAAAGTTGAGGAGATATTAAAACATTATTGTATGTTGAAAAAAAAATCTAGCCCTGTAGTTGAAAAAAAGTTGGGACAATTCACTTTCTAACTATTGGACTACACATTTCCAAATCCTTTGATCATTTATATGTAAAAGTATTTTTGAAATTATATCATGCCAAAGACACACAGTTGAGTGTGTGGGGGGAGGGTGGCTGGATTCAATAACAAACATGTATTGAACATGTTAGATGTGATGTTCTCATTGCTAATGTCTTACTTTTCTCCTGATTATGGCTGAGAAGATTGATATTTTTTCCACAAGTGTCATACTTGAGACTTAAGAGAATATGCTTTTAAGAATAAATGGAGACAAGAGACAATTCCTTGTGTGTGTGTGTGTTTTTTTCTTGTTTTTTTTTCTTGTGTGGTTTAAAAAAAATTATAAAAAAATAAAACAATAAAAAATAAATTTAAAAAATTCTAAGAAGAATGGAATCCCCATTCTTCAATCACAAAGCCATTTTAAAAAAATTTACTGGAAAACAAAAAAAAATAAATAAATTTTTTAGGGATTCGGCATCATTTCAAAATCTTGCTAACTAAAGAGTCATTGCAGTTCATGATAAATCTATGATAAAAATCCCTTTGAAACACAACAAGCAAAGTTTGATTTGGTCCAGTGCCAGGCGCTAGTTGCTGTTTGGAGGACTTCAGAACCATTAGGGATGTGTCACGACATGGATTATTCCTGGGCTCTATCCCAGAAGGTTCCTGTTCCCATTCCAGAGGGGCTGGGGGGCGGTGGGGAGAGCCTAACCATCTGTATCTCCAACAGGTTCCTGAATGACATGCACGCAGCTTATAGATGGACCGTATTTCGAGTAGCACTGATTTGGGGATGTCCCGAGAAGCATAACGTACACTAACAGTTTAAATTATGTTTTTCAGAAAAGCCATTTCAACTGTTCCAGAAAAGCTAAGTGCCAAGAAAGCAACGTCAGTTCTGTGCAGATACCTGGTGATGCTGATTATTTCATCAACCATCTTGGAGTTCCCACCGTGGAGTTCACCTACGAGGACGTCAAAACGTTAGAGGTGATTATTCCTAAAAATGCAAAATACACACACAATATAGCTGACGTGCAGAATTTGATTTTATCCTTCCTATTTGTCTTTCTTACCAAGTAGGTCACTCTAGGAGGCTGCTTCATTTGGAGAGTTATTCTTGTTGTTCAGAGGCTTTGTAACCGTATTTGAAAACATCAGCTCTTTTCAATAGTGTTGAATTCAATTTAAAAAGATTTATACTGTCACTCACATTTTCACAGTATGCTTCGCAACAAGAAATTTGCAGTAGTTGGATTAACATCAAAACATAATTGTAATCTTCAGTATTCACAGAAACAGATGACATGGGCAATAGATTCTCCTCTCCTTGCCCGAGGGAAAATGCATTTCACGTGCTGTATATTAATGTGAGTCTTGTGGATTAGCTGCCCAGGGTTTGTCAATAGTTTGCCTGCCTAAAAAGTTACGACTTTTTTTTTTTTTTTTTTGATGAGGATAGAAGGGTTTTTTTGTGTTTGTTTTTGTTTTTTTACCCAAAAATTATCACTGAGGCCTGATTTACCTGAACTAAGTCTTTGTTCATCCATCTGTTGGACTTTGGATCTTTCTCAGGATTATGTCACAGGAAACTCTTTCTCTGTAGATCTAGAACTGTTGAAATAGTTTAACTTTGACAAGTTGTGCATGCTTCCTTGGGAGCTGTTCGAAAGCCGGGGTGTCCTGCTCGAGGTAATTATTATATGAACCATATAAATAGTGGCTGGAAAATAGGATAAAACCTGCTTTGTCCTTCAACTGTAGATGCTCCTGAAGAGCTGTGTTTAAATTACATGTTTAGAGATTCGACTGCGGATATGCGATCTCTTAATTTCTGATAGCTTTAGTGATATTTAGCTTTCTGTTTCTTGGCAGCACTCTCACACTCATCCCTGAGTTCCTCTGTAAACAGCTAATGGTCACTAACAACATAAATTCTTGGAGGGAGAAACACTGGGTACATCCTATTGTAATGAGGTGAACTCTTGGGTAATAGAAAAGATGTCATTAGAATGTATCTGTTTTTTTTTTAATTATATTTTCACCTGCTATTATTGCGTAAAAATGGAATACGTGTGTAGAGGTAGCTTATCTCTTACCGAGCCCATTATGTACACTTTAATGAAATCAACGTATTAAGACTTAACTCATTTCTAATTCTCCTGCTTGATATCTTAGTATTGCTTCATCATCCTCCCATCTCAGCGCACCCAGCTCCTGTCATGTTAACGTGTAGAATAGTAGCTTTTATTCCATCCATATCTCATTCATCTTGGTTGAGCTTTAAGCCGTGAATTTAGACAATATGGTGCAGCCTTAGGAATAGGCCTATACGTAAATCTTGACTCTGATAACTTACGAGACAATGAGCTAACCGCTTTCAGCCTTGTTTTGCAGATGAGGAAACTTGGTATGTTTAAGGAACTGCTGCATAGAGCCCTGGTGACGATTTGGTGAGACTACCTGGAAGGGGCTTAGCTAATATCGAGCACACAAGTCCTCCATCAACATAGCTATCGTTACAAGTATTATTATCTGATTGTAGGTTCAACATATTAGCAGAAGGATCTCCAAACTTTTTAGACAAGAATGCATTCGTGGAAAGGAGGAGCTTGTTAATTATTAGGGGAAACAAACTGGTAAGGCTGAAGAGGGGGATCTAATGAGGATCAGCTGGAGGATCTGAGATGTCAGTAGAAATATTTGGAAACAGATCGCAGTCAAGGTTTAAGAAGGTACTGTCATCACTGAAACTCCCGTGGCTAATGTCTATTTACTAGAACTGGCTTAGTCTGCAAGAGCTGATCATTTTTGGTTTCAGAACATACCTCAAATGTCCCCAATCCATACCCCAAATGTCCACATCCCATCAGCAGTTTTTTAATTATATTCATCCTAAAAGAGCAATTAAAATAGAATCCCCTAAGCTATATAACAAATGACTTTGTTTATTAGGCTTAGTGTGGAAAATGATTTTAATGTACCTGTCCCCTGCAAAACATAAGTGCTTGAGATAATTTTGTGTGGTGAATCCTTCCAAGAACAGATAATAACCTTTGCTTTTTGCATTAACCTCCAGTAAATGTTTGTATACATTGAGAGGAATTATAAACATTGATAGGCTTTATCCATTGTATGAAAAATATTCATCGTATGTCAATTAGTAAAGCAGATGAGGAAATTAGCACTTTTTTCATGAATTTGCAATTAGATTTAAAACCATATTTGTACATATAGTTGCATGCTATATATACTTTGTGCATAATTTATAAAATATCTACCACTTACTGATTCTTGATGTGCTAAATATTTTTATCTCATCTTACCTAGTATTTATAATATCCTTATGAGTCAGCTATTATTAACTTTTTTTTTTCCCTGAGGCTGAAATGAAGCTTATAATCAAGTAGCTTATCCAAGGTCATTACACTAATAAGTAACCAAGATAGAAGTTGGTTTTGGATCTCTTTAACAGTAAGCGCATGTCCTCACTATTACACTAAAGGTGGCAATCTGGAAGCCCAAGGGCAAAATCCAATTCACAGATACATTCTGTTTACCCCGAACTTTAGTGAAAAATTGGATATCTGGAAACATTTCCCCCCATGGAAGCAATTGGCTGAATTATGAATTAGCAGCGTTCCATATTCTTTATTAAGGAGTCTTCCATGTTGTTTGTCCTAGAGTGCAGTTAGGAAGAATATTTCTTCAGCGCCTGTTGCTATCACAAATTGGGAAATGAAACAATCAGCCTAAGAGGCCACATGTTTCCCCAGATTTGTGTTGCCTGCATTACCCACCTGGCCCTGTAGGAACTGGGTGCTTTATCATGGCACTCATTTTGAGTAAAAGAGCCAAAGTGGACAATCCTATAGTCTCTTCACTTTATAAATGTTGCATGTTCTAAATGAGCTAATTTTATAATACTTCTCATGTTTTAGAGGAGATTATCTATTTAAATTTTATTTGGGTGACTATAATGCTAACTTCAGTACGTTTTGCCTTTTTTTTTTTTTTGTCCAGCAGATTGATTATAGATCCATTATAGTCAGTTTCAACAAGTGATTGATAATAGGAAAAAGAAAAACTGTAGGAAAAGAAACTAGTACCACAGACACATGGGATATTATTCTAAAATAATTTTTGATGAAATATGACATTTTATCATATTCATCAATATTTCATGCATCCATATTCCCACCAGTGCTCTTTCCCTATAGTTTCTCTGGATGCTTGTATATTGAATATGCTTGAAGCATATTTCATTCTTAGTTTTTCTTGATGTCTATACTCTAATTTTCCAATAATTAAATTTCACAAATACAAAGCAATGTATGGATTTGCCAAATGCTAGAATTATTCCTTCTCATAAAATATCGCCGTTAATTGAAATGTCTCTGGTTGTTAAGTTTCATTTAAATAAGGTTTTCAATTTGTAAACATTGTTGCACCTGTTCAGAGAAGCATTCTGTGCAGATTAAATACAATGCAGAAATTGCTGAAAAGGAAATGAAAAGACAGATGCTTTCTGATTAAGAGTGCAATATTTATGACAGGCTGGTGGTCCGATGCACATTTCTTCTGTCACTTAACAGCTGTTTCACATAATTTTTGTTCCAGATCAGTATATTTACTCTCCATAGGGCATGTCAGAGGGTCTGGGTTTCTTAGTATATCAAAGGGTATACCATGCCCTAGTAAGCTTTCTATCACAAATTGAAGCTCTGGTTCCTCACACTGTTTAACCTTATATTTTTTGCTCTTCGGCTTGAAACATTCTATTTTAAACCCAATTTACCTCTATAATGGAGCATTTAACATTTAAATGATAATGAGATAAAGAGGTGTAATAGCCTTTATATAGCCAATTTTTTTGCATAATTATTTCAGTATCATTTAGTAACCCAGCAACTGAAAACCAAGTAGCATAGGTGTTTTGAAACTTATTCTTTTTAAGTTAGATGACTTCGATACCAATTGTGGATCTTAAGTTGATATACAACAGCCTAAGTATTTAGGTGTATGTATGCATATGTGAACTTTAACCTTAAGGTAATTTCATCACATAAAAATAATTAGTGCAGGTACTCTACAGATGCAACACTACCATACACACGCATACATTTCAGAGCAAAGCAACTCGTGGTTTACATCTTGATTCTTCATGTTTTATTCTACTAAGTTGAAGAATAATGTATTTTACTTAGTGATAGTTCTTCCATTACATTTTCTCTTTGGAACTTAGGCACTGACACTGTTGTGTTAACAGATAATAACAGTTCAAAAGTCAATTAAAAGCTCTAGACTTAAGGAAGGGGCACCTGGGTGGCTCAACCAACCCACTGACCCTTGATTAGGGCTCAGGTCGTGATCTCAGGATTATGAGGGCTCTAAGTCTGCTCAAGATTCCCTCTCGCCCTTGGCCCCTTCCACCACCTCTCTATCTCTTTCTCAAAAAAAAAAAAAAAAAAAAAAAAAAAAAAAAAAACAAGCTCTTGACTTAAAGAACCAGAGGTGTGCAGAGGTGTGTACCTATGCGTAGGACGTGCTGATACTTTGCCGTATCTGCTAGAATCTGTTTTATACTGATTCTTATAAAACTTACATAATGCCACTTAAAAATGAGATTTTTACCTTACTACTTCAAAATGCCAATTGGAAATGGAGTGGAGAGGTATTCTTTAGACTTCTCTCTAGTTCATTACTTTTCTTTGTAATTTATTTGAGGAAACATACTTTCAGTATCAATCAAATCATATGATATCATTATTTTCAGGTCAGACTTATTTCATTTAGGACAGAGCTTCTTAAACATTTGTTCTAAAAACCCGTTTACCCTCTAAAAGTATTGAGGACTACAAAGAAAAGGGCTTTTGCATATGTGGTTCATATGTGTTACTATTTCCTACATCATGAATTTAAACTTTGAAAATTTCTCTATATATACATATATATATATATATATGTCTATTTCATTTAAAATCCATAAT